CTGATTTATTTGATTAAAATATGCTATATCTTTCTCACCCGGACAAAAATAACATTTATTTCAACTCTAGAAGGCAGTGCTACCAAGTGCTACTGAGAACAGGGTCGAATAAGTAAGCGGAAAAGTTGCCACAATTTTACTTTTCAATCGCTCGATTCTACATGGGATGATATTGAGCCATAAAGCTCTGCCTTGCATGCACCATGGCAATAAAATAAAAATGCCCATTTAAAGCTGCGTCCGACTTCATGTATCCTATAAAAACGAACGAAATGAAAAAAAAATGTTTTCGTCAGGCGAACACTGTGACACTAAACAAAAATAGAAAATAAAGATGTTCACATGGCAGCATTTAGGACAATTATACAATTAGTTGCACAACACAGGAGGGCAAGGCACACATACAAAAGTAGAATTTGCTGAAGGTACTGAAAGTAACATACTTCTGATTACAAAACTGGGCGAAAAAGCTATGCGGATCCACTGGCCGAGCTTCAGTTATCTTGCCACCTCGTGCTTCTGTACTCTAGCACGCTGGAGTCACGTATCAAAAAATGCAACCTATTGACAATATAAAATGCCATTACTTCAACAGTTAATGCTCTGGAGCGATCAGCAGATCTAATCTTTTGGACAAGCAACGACCGCCAAGAGCACCCAATGGCTGCGAACTCGACAAAAAGCAACCAATATATCCGTTTTTTCCTCCAGCTGTCGACTGCACCGCCAAAGGCGGCCGCCCGGTTTTTTCGGCGCAGCGCCTCCCATTGACGTTGGCCTCGCTGTTTCCACTACTCCCAATTCTCTAGAACACTGCACCGACGGGGAGGGTGGCTGCGCAGGGTAAATGGTTTTGCTGACTTCCAATAAATTGCGCTGCGAAAATTTAAAAAAAGAAAAAAAAATTAGGAATAATACTAGACTTTTCGCGCATTGTTCTACGCTCAAATGATAAGTTTTTGTTTTGATAGTTTGAGTCTGGGCACATAATTGCACAAATCGATAACTTACAAAGACAATCCCCAGATTACGCCACACAGCAGTTCTCGTAACCGCCACGCGCGGCTGCAGATCGGCAAATAATTAGTTTTTTTTTTTTTTTTTTAAGCCTTTTACCTATATATGCGCTACTCTCGAGAGCATAGGCGTTTTAAGCAGATCCGCATGGACGCCGACAAAACCGACATCCAGTTTTTGTTTCCTTTGTAGAGGGTCATCAACGCACATTCCAGTGACTCGGTATCTTGGTAAGACAAGAGAAAATCAGCAATGGCGGCCGTAATCTGGCACGTGTTTAAAGCGTCTATAAGCATATGGACACAAACAAGTGGAGGAACACACGAGGAGGTGTCTATTGCCCCAATAACAGGCCACAAAAAAAACAAAAAACCTCACTATGCTTTTACTTTCCAAAGGACCGCGTCGGACCTAGCATGTTATCGGAGCTAATCCAAAGCCGTGCGAGTGGCACATAATGTCCCTCAGGAAGTGCACAGAACGAAAGGTTTCTTGATACGTTTACAGAGCTGGATTCGATATGATAGCTCCTAGCGTCGGCTAAAGTCTATTATAAGGGGGAACGAAGCGTAGCGATGAAAAGAGAAACCAGGGCTTATCTCGTACCCTTTTCCCATGATGGTAGTGGGAGGTTACCGCCAGAACGCATCCGTCATACGTCCGAACCAAAGTCACAATATGCTTTGTTTTTTTTACCAGTAACGACAACCAATACAAATGACAAGGCACGTTCCGCTGGAACAAGATGGCGTCATTCAGTTCAATCTTCTGCTGTGCGCCGCCATTCCCTTCCTTAAACCTGCATTGTCATGTAGTCGGTGCTTTACAGAATGTCGCTACTTGTGGGAAGCTCTTCTCTAGGAACTGTAGTCCGAACGCCTTCAAATTCCAACAAAAAGTCCCAGAAAGCGGACCTGTGTGCTCTTTCTTAACCCCGGCGGCGAGGCAGCGGCATAATCAAACTTCAAACCGGTTTCGTTAAACTTCTAAGCCAGGGGTCTCAAACACGCGGCCCGCGGGACGCATGCGGCCCGCGACTCGCTGGGACGCGGCCCGCAGGGAACCGGCTACGCGTCCCGGTTCCCATGCGCTGGAAATGGCATGCGCCATAGTGATCTCATCACGCCGATTCATTTCCGTTCGAAAAGTAGCTCTGCTCTTTTAACGTATTCACATAGTTTATACTTAACTGTGCTCATTTGCCCTTTGTTTCGCTTTTATTTTTTTATTCCCAGCTTTTTGTAATGTACAACAATTACGCTACTGCTGGAATTAAAACTTGGGTTTGGGCTAGTTGGTCCATTACTGAATAAAAGGTTAAAAAGCGCGAACAAACGAGGACAAAAAAGAAACACGGACGACAGGACAGGCGCTTCTGCGCTTCTGCGGACAAGCGCCTGTCCTGTCGTCCGTGTTTCTTTTTTGTCCTCGTTTGTTCGCGCTTTTTAACCTTTTATTCACTACTGCTGGAAGCGTGAACTATTCGTTTCAGGATACATCTTGGGCTGCGCGAACTCTCTATCAGCAGGAGTAGCTGCCAAAGATAAAGCTACGAGGTCGGGACTAGAGCCATCAAAGTATTTGTACAGAGTGTTGTAATAAAAATCGTCAGGAAAGCAAGAACTGTCAAATTAACTGATTGATTTTTAGAGACATGTTGAGCTTGGTTAATTTCCGAGCGAATTAAGCCACGAAAACGACAGTGCAATTTCTCTCTTGTTCCATTAAAAATGCTAGCACGCTCGCGGGGCGGTGTCATTTTAATTATTGATATCACATGACGTTAGGCCCCAAAGTAGTCATATAAACCAATCAAATCTAAACATGCCACTGGCAAAACTGTGAGTTACAAAGAGCATAGAGGACGACGTCTTTTCTTTTTAAAATCGTCTGACTCCCCCCCCCCCCCCCCCCCGTTGCTGCGTTGGCCCTCGACCAACCTCGGTATGGGATATCTGGCTCCCAGATTCAAATGAGTTTGAAACCACTGTTAAGCAATGTGGCCAGACTGATCAGCGCTAAGAACAAACCGGTGTGCAGTTTCAAACCGGGTCGCAGGATCGCAAACTTCCGTCTGCGAACGTCGGCGGTTCGTCGTTGTTGGGGAGGCATGTTCGGGGGGGGGGGGGGGGGGGGGAAGGGGGGGTTCATAAAATTCTCGCATTCAAGTCGCGACTATGAGCCGCCGGCGCTAGCAAGACGGCCAGCAGGCTACAGACAGTTTGTGGTGCTAGGCGGGCGGTTGATGATAGGCTCTGCGTAGGGTACGCCGAGCGCTGGAATGAATTTTCGCAGCCGTTCAAAGGGAAGAGGATTTGAAACGACAAAGCAGCGTCCAGCATCACCAGCAAGCTAAAGCTGCTCAAGAGTTCGACGCTCACATTTGAGCCGAGCGAGCGCCGTTCGCTAGATCGAGGCGCCGCCCGCTCTCGCGTCGCGATTGCTAGGTCGTTGTTCTGCGTACATTGACATGTGCACTGATATTTGAAACCGCTCCCTCGAGACTTCAGATGGGTCTAGAGGAGCTTATTGCGCGCCATAGCGTCGTGACGTCAGCAGTACACACTAAAAATTTCAACACCCATGTTCGTGTTAAAAAAGTGATTTTCCGAGCTCACACCCTTCCTAGACGATTTTTACATGATCTTTGAATATTCAAGGGTGTACGGAAAGGCCAACACCCTTCGTACATCCTTTTCCCACCCTGCGGCTGCCGAAATCGTGTTAAGAGGGTGCTGCGATGGCACACCCATGATTTCCGACTTGTCGAACTCGGAAACCACCAAATTGCTGACATACGCGCCGACAGCAGAAGTCAAGAAGCAGTCCGCTCAATTTAGTGGATTTCGTAAAGTTCAAGTAAGCACAATGGGCAGCTGACATCCAAGCCAAGCCAACGCTCAAGTTGTTTTCAAGCCAGATGAATGCCGGCGTTGTGTACAAGCTCCTTGGTTGTTTACGTGCAAGCGACCACGAAAATAGCATCGGTGACTCATGCACTTCTGCTCAAAATGGTGAGACCACATCGCTTCTATTATGATACATTCCGATGATCATCTTGAGATGTACTAAAGCGAAGGCTAGACGTGCGAGACGGTTCGGGCTCACAGCTTTACTGTGAGTTTGTACGGTAAAGGTCGGTTCAGGCACTTGCGTTTGAGTGCGTTTGTCTACGTTGCGTTTAGAACCGAAAGCGAGTGACCGGCACATCTGTGCTTCGTCTGAAGCGTGGATTCCAGTTCAAGGAATCATCTGAGTACGTCATATAAGCAGCAGGGATGTCCTGGTTTCTCGCAGCCGCAACGCGTTCAAACGCAACTGTTTGAACCAGGCTTTACGTGGCTGTCCTGTGCTTGTCCTTCGCGTTTTATTCTTTCGATTTTAAGTATTCATTTTCAACTCGCTTGCTTTTACCAGTAATAGTGGATACTCAAGCTGCACGAGGGTTCGCGCTGTGTGACCATCTAGCGATGCTATGAGCTCGTGCTCGAGCCTTGGCTTTAATGCATCTTAGCAGGGAAGGCAATCATCGGGGGTATATGACACACGATGATGCCAAGTCTGTTCACGGCGGGCTCTCGTGCTGTTTTGATTGGAGGAGAACGGTCGTGTAATAAATTGGCAAATGGAACATGGTTAGCGACAGCGCAAATATATGTTGGAAAAAGTTCAGAACGTTGAAGTGCAGCAGCCCGAAACTTTGGAGTTGAGCAATGAGAGAATCATTTGAAGACCTCTTTAGAGGTTCAGCCTCCTCTCCCCCCACACCAGTATCGAAGGCTGCTAGGATATTGGTTCAGGCTAATAAGCCTTCTGTCTTTCAGTCAACGAACTCGGGCCGTTCCACCTGACCTTGCTATTTCATAACTGATTTGTAAGAAAATGGAATGCAGATTTTCTTTACACGGCCAAAACATGAAGTGTTATCAAATAATACCTGCCATATTCAGATTCTATGTTTACAGACCGGGGTTGCCCCGCCTGTGGAGGGTGAAGACGCGAGCAGCCTCGAAGCCCACCAACAGTGGCTGTGTGCTGAGAGCGAAAGTTGGTGCCTGACGGAGGCCAGATTGAGCTTCGAATGGTTGCGACTGCCTGATGGATGCTTATCCCTACCTGATGGATGCTAGGAGGGTATGCATTTCGTATTTGTTTACTGATCTCTACGACAATTGCTAAATTGCGCTTCCCCGCTCCGTGATTGCGGCTACCGGACGGCCATCCTGGGACACAGAGAATCAACCTTTTGGAGCGTTGTACAGGGTGGCCGGCAGCGTGCTGAAGACATGTTTTCTGCTCGTTTGTCGTCATTGGGCGCGTTGAAGGGGTCTTGCAATAAATTTTTGACTGGTTTTTAATTTAGACCGAACCTGAGCCCCCTGAACGTAGTAACTTAAAGAAACTTTTGTCTTCTCAATTTTCGCTTTATCTTAAAAGTTAGAGGCAAATTAGAATTACAAAAACAAGCAAAAAATAGCATCCTTCATGACGTCGTAGGTCCTGGCTTGAGTGGCCGTGAAGTAATGAGCTCATTGAGCGCTCACGGCTGCCGCACTCAGTGTCGACGGCTCGAGAGGGCGCCACTAAAGCACGCGCTGACTAGGCTGTATGAAGCGGGCGGCCAGGGTGGCTCGCATTGCATTTGCCGCGCGATTAAAGACTAATTCGGCATAACACTTCATTGGCCACAAACGACATCAAACACAGGGTAAAAATCAGTTCAGAACAGGAGCCACTTCGCGCTGCTATACCGCTAAATGGCCAAATGCCAAGCCATTAAGCCCTCGCCGAAAGCCTTCGGGACGCTCGGAACTGGTCGGATCCTCGAGCCGGTATACGACCGCAGCGCCGCCGCGTACATCCGGGACCTTTCTACGCCCGGTGTTCGTCGGAGCCTCATCCAAGGAGGTTAGAAGTACTAGGAGGGGGCACGTTGCAATATTGGTGAAGCCTAGTCATAAAAAGTTTAAACGATTTTTTGCCCAGCGTGACCGCAGATCTCTCTGGCGATTGGTGCGCGTGACATGTCACGTGTGAGATGGATGGTTGATTGTAGAAGGACTCCTTGCAGGCTTGCGCGCGCTCCGTCCGGTAGGTTTTATCAGATCGAAGGCTAGACTGTGGTGTATTCTAGTACCCCATAGCCAGACGAAGGCTAGCTACGGTCACGTGATGTGGTCACGTTGGCGTGGTTATTGAGGAGAGTAAGGAGGAAAATGAGAAAGAGGCGAGGCGTCAAGGGAGCATGGCTTGTGGAGGATACGCGGCCGACGTCATGCCCTCTCCTACCCTTCTATTCTCCATGGTTTCATCCAACTAGGCCTTTCTAGTATGCGCCGTTTTTTCCGCCGCTTGGTGGCGGGTTTGTCGACGGGTCTTTTCTTGTTTCCGTACTTTATAAACTGCATTTGTTTCTTTTCTGATCTAAAATACTGAACAAAAACTACTTTCATACATTATTAAAACGGTTCGCGACACTTATGTTTTGTATCTCGACTAAAAAAAAAGCTTTTAGCGGCTCTGACCGGTAGTAAGCCCAGGACCAAAGACGTCACACATTGCGCGCTTTCGGCAACGCGGGTCGCCATCGTAGGTGGAGGAAGTTTCCGCGTCGTCCGGCTAAAATATGACTCACTGATATTTAGTTATTATCTCCGTGCCCGCTGGCTTGCCCGAACCCCAAGAGACGTGGAAACCGCAAAAGAGGTAGACGCTTAAATATGATTGCAGGGCCCCTTTAAGTCCACGCTTCTTTACTCCTACTCCGACACTCCGAGTTTCATACTCCAGGCACAGCAACTAAACGGCGCATGGCGTACAGGAGCGCGACACACCGAATCTATCGACGAGCCACACAAGGTCCTTCCGACCGCACGGTCAGGACGAACCTGGCATCCCGTGGATACGGGTGGGAGAAGCCAAAATTATTTCGGTGCTAAATTAATTAAAGCCAGTGTAGAGCGGCAGGGTACAAAGTAAAAGAGACGGCGACGTTAAGAAGTTTCTACGAACGTTTAAATAATCCTGAGAGGTTTGGAGACTCGCTTCGAGCACATACGGGGAAAGGTACCTTGGCCAATCTGTTTATTGACCATGCAAGCTGTTCATATTTAAATTAAAGACAACATTCTTGAACCCGCTTGTCGACGCACGAAACCCTCAAACTTGCCAGATATTTCGTGGTTCCGTATTGCAGCGAGACGAAATTGGACGGAAGCTGTTGATGTGCTATGCCGATACCGGAACACCGTCGTTCAATAGATAACACGTCAATTCGTTTCAGGCGAGACATGAACATGATGTTTCGGCTTTTCATTCGAAGTATCTTGATTCTCTGGGCAAAGCATCCTAGAAAGGGCAGCGGTCCGACTGTCTTCTCATCTCAACAACTTTTCTGTAGCTGTGCTGTCGGTAACCTACCGTTCAATAGATGAATTCGTTTTCAGGCGAGATGCATGAACAAACCTTTCCCGCAATGCTAACTGATGCTTCGGCTTTCCAATCTAAGTATCTTTATTCGCTGCAGCTGGACTAAGCATTTTAAAAAGGGCAGCCGTCCCACTGTCTTTTCGGCAACTTTTCTGTCGCCGAGCTATCAGCACGCTCGTTCGATCGATCACTTTGGTTTCCTGCAAGACGCATGAACAAAACTTTTCCTCGACGCTAACTGATGTTTCGGCTTTCCCATCGAAGTATTTTATTCGCTGGGCTCAGCATTATAAAAGGAGCAGCAATCCGAATGTGTCCTCATCTCAACAACTTTTCTGTCGCTGTGCTATCGGCATGCTACTGTTTGATGGATGAATTCGTTTTCAGGCGAGATGCACAAACAAACTTTTTCCGGAATGCTAATTGCTGTCTTGGCTTTCAAATCAAATTGTTTTTACCTGCTGGATTCAGCACTAATTGACTGAAAAGGAGCAGCTGTTTGGCTACGCCTTTCGTTTCAACAATCTCAACAATAGCACAGCCATCTTGTTTGTGGACGTGACATCACGGAGTGCGAAGAAGTCACTTGTGCTCCAAGAAATGCTCGGAGCACGAAGAGCGCGCTCGAGTGTCAGTCTCCAGCAGCGCTCTCGTCTGTTTAGTGAAAGGAGTGCCAAACGCTCGCAATGTGTAAACAATGAGAATTTCCTATGAAAACACAACATTTCTTGCAAAAGTGCAGCACCGCAGGAAAGGCACAACTTGTCGAGCGCAAGTCTCGCGATCAAACCTTCCTTGGCCTGCCAAACTGCTGCGTCTCTGTGCCTTTTCACGCTTGGATACTTATCCAGAATCGATGCCATGGCAGAGCTTTGAAGGTATGTCGCACGTAGACGTCTTCTCTATCAGCCAGCTGTTTTAGCAAGTTGCTATCAATAGGGAACGAAATCAGTAATTGCTATATATATTAACCATGGCTATGTTCCAAATCTACTCAAATGGATCACATGACAGCACAAATAGAGCAATGCTGTGGAGGAAGGTAGGTTTTCGAAGGCAAAAGTATGAAGCGGGGAGATCGAAAGTTTTTTAAACGCGGCCCGTCCTTATGGTTGTGTGCAATCTGTCGCCGTCGCCATAGCCTCCTACCCCTCCTTTGTCGACACTGGATCATGTCCGTTTGTGGACTGCAAGTGCCGCAAGTTACAAATACAGTCGTAAGAGTAAACTAAATGCTGCTGTAGAGGCACATGCATCTTTATGCACGTTGCACTCACGAAACAAATCCACACGGCGTTAATTCTTGATCGGTATTCAAGCGTGCGAAGACAGAGATGCAGCACTTTGGCATGCCAAGGAGGCTTTGATCATGCCGCCAGAACGGCAAGACTTGCGTTAGACGAGTTGCTCCTTTTTCTTGCGGTGCTGAATTTTCGTAGAAATTTCTATGTGTTCTCAAACGCAATTCCCACCGTTCGGGGTTTTAACAAACTTCTTCGGTAAATGACAACGAACGAGGAGAAAACATGTCTTCAGCTCGCTGCCGCCCAGCCTCCGCAATGCTCCAAAAGGTTGACTGATAATCTGTGTCCTAAGGTGGCCATCCGGTGGCCGCACCTGAGCTGCAACGACCAACCGGAGGCGCGCGATACAGCAAATTGTCGTGGAGATCAATGGTATTGCTTGCACGGCGTACTATTAGTCTTCAGAGCAAACACAAGTGTCGCTGCGGTCGCCACGTCTTGATTGGGTGAGGTCTACCGTGACGTCTGGCGACGGACTCCGCTTCGCGTTCTGGCATCTGGCTCGCTTCCCTGCGCCCGTTTCCTCTCGATCGGAGGTTTGTGATCATGCTGACCTACTGTTCAGCGCTGCAATGCACTTTCCAAAAAAGAAGCCGGTAGCATATTTTACCACCCGAAAACTTCGAGATTAAAGAAAGCATGAACAGTCAGATTAAGGATGGGAAAGGCACCGTCAACATCGGCCGTTGTGTGCTGTAAGCACGTTGAGAAGCGGGGCTTCGTTTATCCAGTGTACAAGGCGCTGGGTGAGACTTATACTGACAGAATTTTCATAGCTTTTCAAATTGTGCTTGTCACGTTTACCTTTACAATTGGGTTATAAGTATGGAAAGCTATCGGTGGAGGCAATTCCGTCGATGAACCCGCCCGCCCCCTCCACACGATATAAGGCGATTGTGCAAGGGGTTGTGGAAGCGGCGGTGTAAGTGTTTCGGACACTGAAATTCTGTTCTTTGCAGGTTCATGAGTTAGGAGAACATCAGACCCCACTTTGCGGGCATGAAACTGGCATTTAAGTCAAAGGCCTTTGGGTGGTCTCCCTTGTGATTTTCTCTCCATGGCCCAGAATATATTGAACATGTTGCTCGAGCAGAGTGCAGCTTTTTCGCTGAGACGTTTTGTTTAGAAACAAAGATGAAAAAAACCTCTTAATTTATTCAAATCATCAGCAGCGTTCATTGTGAGAGATGTAAATATATTCCAATGCTCCTGCAAGTGTGGTGGCATTTCTTCCTTTTCATGTACCAGCTGTGATTCGTGCGCTGGCTGCCCTGGAAACCATGCTCGGAATGTTGGTTGAAGTTTCGCCTGCAGCTACATACCATAACTCAATAAGGCCGCATATAATAATTCACATTTCCTACGTAAAACGTGCAAAAAAAAAAAAAGAAAACAGAAACTAGTATGCCGACAGCTAACGCCGTCTCTGCCTTTGCAGGGCTAGTGAGGGGATAAATTTTGTCCTCAGCATGACGTCACCCCGGCTCGCCGTAAGGGGTTGCCACCCAAACTTCTCGGTGCTAATACTCTCACCACACAATGCACCTGGTATTTGTTTGGCCCCTGGCCATGAAATCATTCTCAGTTTGTCATTCCATCTCACCGGGAGCCCAATTTTGGTCATCGCGGTCTTAACTGGCTTGCATTGAAGAAGCTAATAGCGAGTTTGTTTAATTGCACTCGTGCCCACGCGTGTCCACTCGCAGCGTGGAGCGAGTTCCTTTCAGTTGGCACTCCACGAGTGGTTGCATTCTCCGAGTTCGTTTCATCGCTGACACCCCACGCGTGCATGCACTCGCTGCACCGAGAAAATCGAGAGTGCACCAAAATGCAATCCCGTCATGCCTCGCTCCGGCGAGGCCGGCAGGAGCGGGAGCAGACGACGAAAGTTCGTCTACTACGATATGTCGCGGAACTGAAAGGAAAAAAAGTAGATTTTCTGATAGAAATTGCGTCCTCTGGGCAACGAAATCAAACGCGAGCTTGAACTGTGAGCGTCTCCTATTTTATGAAGGAAGCAGTTGACAAACCTTGCTTTATTTGGAGGTTTTAAGTCGCTCTGTTGCCGTAAAAACGCTGAAATATACCAGTGTGCAAAGAAATGCTCAGAACAAACGCATCAGCGACCCCCGAGATGTTTATCACCAACGTGTGCGGGTTAAAAATTAAACATTTGTCGACAAAACTCCCCCAGCAGAAACCTTTGACTGCCCAATAAGCATCAGAGAAAGCTTAACATAGTGATTTTACCCGAGGCTTAGGCAACATCATCCTGTTTAACATTTACCTACGTCAGCTAACTTCCCACGTCGTATTTTGTTCGAGAAAGCTCTCGTTCTCGACGCCCTCACCAAGGCTAATATCTGATCCACCTGTAATGACGATCGAAATCGAAAGTCCCTCAAAAATTTTTTCTGGATATTTCAGCAAGCTAGTTTTAAGCCGTACCCTTTCAGTGGTTCACGCATAATGCCATGCTCAAACGGATCAAGCTTCTGCTCGGACAGCATCATCAGTTTTCTTCAGTGTAAACGGTTATGAGAATTGAAAGATCGCAACCAGCTGCTTTGTGGACAGCTGGTTGCAGAAATTTACGCGGTCTGTAACTATCTGTATGACAGCCGAGTTGCTTGAAGTCATCGCAACTATAAACTACAGGCTGCAGCGACCATCGTTTGTAGATAAACGTTGGTAGCGACCGCACTCTCGCATTCCCACCCATCACTCCGAACAGCAAGGCGCCAGTTTCGGTTTGAGGTTTGTATTCTTTCTACAACATAGATGGTGGCAGCATTAGTCTTCCGCACTTGGTGCATTTGGCGAATTCGTTTGAGTCCAGTTCTCCCTGCAACACTCAGCGAGTGCGATGCATTCTGACAGAAACAAAACGACGAATAGACTGGCAAGTCATCTGCGAACAGAGCCAAAAAGGGACAATCATCTGCTACGAATTGTGTGCCGGGCAGAGTGAGATCAAAGACTAATAGAAATATGGAACATCGACTATTTTAGGGATGCAATTGTTGTCCTGTGCTTCATTTCGCTATGGTGATTTGTTTTCTGGCCGTGTGTAACTTGACACCCACTGGCGCTAAAACAAGAGCTTGGGACAAGCACTTACCTTACCACGATATCGATCTCAGTATCCGAAAGAAGGTGACAGGTTCTCACCAAAAAATTCCCTCGTCGACAGCGAAAAGAATTCTCATTGGTCAAGAGCGCTCGTCGGTGGCACTGTGTCCAATCACAGTGCGTACCTAGTGAGATCTTGATCGCGATCTCAACGATGACCAAAATCGGGCCCCAGGAACATTTTATTATTTCTGTTTTGGCGCTAGTTCTCTCTGTCTGTGAAAGTGCCTATATATTTGCAAATATATATAGATTTAAAATAGAAAGATGAAGCTATTTTTTTAAATTATTTATTGTGGCCTGGAATTAGGAGAAGTATTCTTAGAAATGTGGTTCTGTCATGTTTCACTTCAGTGACAGTCATGGAAATGTGTTTGCATGCTCTACTTTCAGTTCCGAAAAGACTAAAAGCGCCAGACAAAGATCGAGCTAATGAAGGTAATGCCGGACGGATCCATCATCAGTCTTGCTTCCAGGAAGATTTTGAGATGCAACAAGGAGCTGCTAGAGCACATCACCGTGATCTCAGTGGAAGGTGCCAACTGCAAGCTCATGAAGCGTAAGCTCCAAGTATTGAATTTAATTGCTGAGTGTCTTTTTCATTGACAAGAAGGCCCCAACATTTTCTAAGAACTCCAGTAGGGTTTTGTTGTTGCATCTTTATACACGCAACTCATTCACTTTGCCAATTATGTTTTTCTAGCCTGACTCAGCTGGCAAGCCGAGCAGCGAGTCTAAAACGTACCATTGTTTCCGGTCAGACTGTCCATTATTATTTATTGTTCTTCCCTGCTATTGTGATATGTCTGCACTGTAGTCATTACAGGTGCTTGAATGGTGGCTCCTACTTTCTACACATGGGTCCTAGGAAACATTTTGTAAGTGATGAGGTGCCCACAATCATGGGCGTCAGCAAAGTGGCGGAAAAGGGGGGAGGGATTATTCTGGGGAGGTTTAGCTTTCAACCCTATAACTTTGAAAGAAAACGAGGTTTGCCCCCTCCCCCTCCTTTTCCTGCAAAACATACTGCAGATGCCCATACTCGCAATCTAGGACAACGGTTCTGGAATGAGGGTCTGTGGAACCTCTCCGTAAAGGCATTTTAGGAGTCCGCAAAACTCTGCCGGCAATAATTTTTTTTTTTTTTTTTAAATATGATTTGGGGCATTGAGTTGAGCCCAGTCCGGCCATGGCGCATTCACAGCTCCGGGAGCAAAGAAATCTACAGAAGAATACCTCTTTTCACTCTTCCCCCTTTTTATTCTTGGTAAACACGTTTGCAGTCCACCCCCCTTGCCCTTTTTTTTTACACTGCCTGGCGTCTCCCATCACTTCCGCCAGTCCAAAAAGGGTTTGCTTGCCACGATCGGCGGTTTCCTTTTTTCTCTGTAGCATCCTTTCTGCTAAAGGGGAAAGAGTGTAGACGGAGCTTCTTCCCCTCACCGTACCGTCTTAACCTGCAACATACTATACTCTCGGGAACAAGATAATAGCCTTGTATCTTTTCTGCCGCCACAAATGCTGTGCAGGGAGTAGCTTAGCATAATTTTGGGCACAGGCTTTTGCTGCCACCACACGCCACGCTATGAAGTGGAGTGCCACGGTGCGTGCATGCCACCTGTCGCATAAAGCAGTGCACTTTCAAGCTGCGTGGATGCAATGACGGCAGAAAAAACACCAGCGGAGCGGAAAATACAGAGCATGTTATTAACAGCACTGGTTAATTCCCAATAAATCACAATCTGAATCATTACTCTAAAACCGTTTATTTTCGCAAATCGGTCACAGAGGACATAATCGCGGCCACTACATTTTGCGAATTCCAGACGCCTGCATTGAAACTTTTGAAGAGATCATGAAAGCAATTTCGAAATTTTATTTGACGACTGAAATGGGCGTTGGGCTCGTCTCAGACACTGTTGACCAAGTTCCAGCCGGAACAGAAGTTCGTGTGCCGCACCAATCAATTAAACAGTTGTGGTAATATTCGCGCGGGGACGATGCCTGAGACCCCCCCCCCCCCCCCCCCCCCCCCTCCAAGACGGCGGCAGAAAGGTGAACTAAAGTGCGCCGTCAAAGCGTGACGACATGGGCTCCTCGTCAGGCGATTACTTCAAACGGTTGAAACGAATGATGCGCTCTTGGTTTAGAATTCGGTGGTGAGATGTCAAAGAAAAAAGTAATTTGTTGGATAATTTTTTAAAGTTGTAGCTCGGAATTAATAGGTTTCATAGCGTGTATAGGAATACGTTCCATAGCATGTGTAGTGTGTAGGATGACAAGGAAGAACACTTGTGGAAATAAATGACAGCTGTATGCTGTGCTGGTTTTGAGACGGTGGTGTGTATGTTCCTTTTTGTTTGCTTGTCTCGAGGAAATAAAATTTTAACAGCAAATTTTGAACCCTGCTAGTGCACACCTTTCTGATCCAAAACTGACTTCGAGACCCAGTAGGTTTCAAAGCCGGTTTCAAATAGGGAAACCGACGCCAAAGTCAACTTCGAAACCTGGGATGTTTTGAAGTGATTTTTGGCGTTAGTTCCCGAAAAGATACGTTATCAGTTTGGTGGCCGGGAGCTAAAAGCATTTCATGCTTAAAATCATACTCATCAGTGCGGCCTTTCTTATTCTCTGACTGAATCAATCCTGCTTTTATATGCAGGAGGGAACCATCCCGACGGCACCCTGCATTGCCTTCTCGGGGTACAATGTGAAGGCAGCGAAGAGCATGAACATACACGTTGATACAGTTTGGCTTTTCGAAGTGCAAGATGCGGAGGATGGCTTTACTGTGGTCATGGCGGCCTACTGGCTTTTTGGCTTCACCCATGGCCAGAAGACGTACAATACGAGCTGCCTTCTTGAGAGGCTTTGTCTTATTCTAATCTACTCACAGCTAGAGCCAGTTGCAATCAAGGTGATTAATATAATCAAGAAAACACCTGTAGCCTGATTGCTGATCACATAGTGCGATCGCCAAAGTCTCTGAAACTCCTGCCAGGATTGTTTCGATTTTCGAAATAACTAAAGGCTTTGTTTTTTTTTTCTTGAGATGGCAGCTGCAAGTTGTGTGGCTCACATACCTAAGTATGCTTCGATTCATGACCAGCTTTATTCGTTTATATTCATCACATTTCTCTAGTCCTCTGTGTTGTTTCCTAGTCATCAAACTATTAGGCACCTGTATGGAGTAGTTACATTTTGTTTTTATGTTTTTATCAAAACGGTTTGTGTCACCATATCTGGAATTCAGCACCCTTACTACGAAATTTCAAATTAATCTTATGTTGAGATACTTTCTAAAAGTGGAGATGACTGGCATTAAATGTTGTGTTTCTTTATCGCTCCTGTTCATACTTTGTATATTACTTCAGTCAAAAGACACCAGTAGTGTTCAATATGCCCCGCCCCAGCACAAGCTTTTTAGCCTGGATAAAGTGAGCGTGAGTGAGCACGTACTAAGCAGTACCGAAGGTAATGAGCGTGCACTGTTGCATTTTCAAAGTTTCAGAAATGCTCTTTTTTAGAAAAAAATAAAAGCAGAAATTTTTGTGGTATATTCATAACTTGTGGCTTTCTTGAAGAATGCGAGCATTCTGAAGGTGTTGCCGAAGGCTTGCCAGAGTGACAGCGGGGTCGAACGCGACAAGTGCGAGCTAGTACACGCTCTATCGCAAGCCCTTGTTCTGCGAAACCACTTCGCAAAGTCACTCTTGCATGCCTGTAGTCTTTGCTGCCCTACAGTGGTAATGGTAGGCAATTCCGGCTCACACAAGAAATCATCCCATTACTGCCAAACTCAGTTTCCCTTTAAAGGGATGGTGAACAGAAATTTGGATTTCAGAAAACGATGCAGATGCCGTAGGCGGGACGCTACAATCGCTACAACACTACTCGTAGTCGTAAGGCGATATCTTGAATGGACGGCCGTATTTTTGGAAAAAGAGGTTGAGATTGAACGAGGCCGATGAGGCGCGTGACGTCGAGATATCTTGTTTCCTCCTCTCTCCGCTTCGCCCCCTCAAGGCGGCGAGGCCGAGAAGACGCGAGGTCGTTCCCTCTCCTTCTCGGAGAAACAAGACAAACAAATCTGTCAAATTCGCCTCCTTTTTTTTTTAAAATAAGGTCATCCGTTCGAGATATCGCTGTATGAGTGATGTTTTGGTGTTTGTAGCATCTTGTTACACGCTTTTGCCGCCGTGTTTTGTGGAATCCAGATTTCGGTTCAACATCCCTTTAAGTGCAAGTGAAACCGAAATGCCAAGAACGAGCACGTTGTCCTGAACGACACTTGCACTGCACACGCGCGCATGCTTAGCAACATTCAAAGCATGGAGCTTGCTCTGAAAGCCTCTGCATCGGGCTTCCTGTTGCAGCTCGTGTTACCGAAGCAAGCTTTTGGGCAGACATTTTTTTTATAAGTAGAAACTTCACCACCCGTACTCAGAGTACTTAGTTGCGGTACTTTAGATAAAACAGAAGGGTATTGAGCAGTGCAAACTTCCATTATCGTCAGTTGAGAAGCATTCAGTTGTAGTAATTGTTTTGCTTTACATACAAAAAGGCTGGAGTATGCTTAAATGCTGGGCTAGCAACAAACTGCTACCAGGGGCCCTATGCTACACGACGGGACCAAGCGGAATCAAGGGACCGGGAGCCATCCAGCGACCTGGATGCAGGGACGGGTTCAGCTTCCACGGGATCGGTGCCACCTGAATCTTGTCCTAAAGGGCCAGCAGCAGCTGGATAGCGTCACATTGCGATGCGGGGATGGGGATGCCGAGCGAGCTCGGGACGTGCCGCCCACTCAGTGTGAGGGCCAGGTGCTCCCACTGACTGGCTAGGTGCATGTTGATGAGTTCCTGGAAGGTGTTGTTTACACCCAGCCGCCGGAGCTTGGCGTTCGGCGCGTACGGCGGCACCCCCAGTGCCAACTAGTGCGCCTTGCGAATAATCACGTCCATCTTGCCTTTATCTCTCGACATGAGGTTGAGATACGGATTTGCGCAGGTGATGTGGCTCACGACGAGTGGTTGGGTCAGCCGGATCAGGTCCGCCTCCTTGAGCCCGTTTCTGTGACTCGTTATCCTTCTCACCATGCGCATGACTTGCGTGGTTGTCTCGACGAGTCGGTCGACCGTGTACTTGGCTCCGCCGTCCCGCTGGAGGTGAAGGTCCCAAGATCCGAACCCGCTTCACCACCGGCACGGGGGTACCATCCTTTAACGTGAGGCGGATGTCCGCCTTCTTATTCTTCGGGAATTGGCTTGCCCGCGCGGACGAGCAACAGCTGAGACTTATCGGGGGCGCGCTGGAGGTTGCCGGCCTCGAAGTAGTTCTGCACCGTCTGGATGACTTCTTCGAGGAAGTCTTGCCTCCCGTTGTCCGATCCCGACGTAGTCCAAATCGTCAGGTCGTCCGCATAGAGTGGCATAGAGTTTATGCTTCGTCCGGGGAATCCGTTCCAGTAAAGGAGGCGGCTTGCACATCACCAGGTAACAAGATGGGTGACAGGACCGAGCCTTGCCGGATGCCCTTGCTCGGGATCGGAATGGTGCTTGTGCGGATGGACTCGACTCCCATGGTGGCCATCCAGTTGCTCAGGAAGTCCCGCACATAATCATATATCCAGGGCCCGCACCCAGTCGAGGCAAGGTTCTCGAACACCAGCGTGTGACTGACATGGTCGAAGGCGCCCTTCATATCCAGGGCCGGGACCGCCCGCGTCGTCGTACAGGAAATTCTGTCAAGGTTATCCTCCTTGATCTGGAGCAGGACATCCCGGGTGGAAAGGTGTGACCAGAGCCCGAAAATGGTGTTCAGGGTGGCATTGAGGTGAATACAGGATGGTCCCCTCAAATATCGCTGTAAACACCTCATCAGGGCATGGGCATTTAAAAAACTGGAATGGAGTGTCCAGGTCTGCGACGCTCGGCGGTGCCTCTATATACCTGATGACCTCTTTCTATTTCTTTTGGATCCTTTTCAAGGGAGTATATTTTCTACTTCGGGGCACTTTTCTTGTTTCTGGCACCTACTACTGCAGGAACTGTTTCATCCTCACTTTATTCTTTGCTTTCACAGCACTCATTTGATGTTAATGTGGAAGGGAATTGGCCGGATTCCACTCTTCGTTCCACCGTAAAATGTGCTGGCGTTCAATACCTGCCGTAAAAAAGGGTACTTAAAATTCCAAAAATGACGACGAGTGTGTAAACATATGATGCCAGCATTTCATTTTTTTTTTATTTCCAATGAGCAACACTATACCATGCCAAAACTCTCCCTAAGTGCACACCGCATTTCACAGCGTGCTAAACTTTGCCGGAAAAATCGGCGCCTGCACGCAAAGGGGCGTCGTTTCCTCTGCAGTGTATTTTACCTTGAAATTTTAAGGAGCGCCTTTTGCAGCTAGAACATACTTAAAAATACTAAAAATGCGTTCGCCACGGACGACCGAGTCTTCCGCCGGCAAACGCTGTCGTTTGTATACGATACGCCTTGAAATTTTCACCCCGATCGATCAGGCGCCGATTTTTCCGGTTGCTTTCCCATACCTTGAGCCACCCAGAAGCACCGCGCGTCCCCGTAAATTAAAAGAAAAAAAGCAAAAAAGGATGGAGCGGGCATTGAGTGTTTCGTTAACTTACCGACTTTGTGCGTGGACCGCGCCACGTTGCGCTGCCTGACGCACGCGCGTTTTGGAACTAATTCAGTTGACAGTTCCCTCCGAAGATGAAGCCACTGAAGCCACGGCGGTAATCGGACTGGTAGGCTGTTCCCTTTCGAACGGGCGGAAGAAGACTATGAAGAATTCGGCAGCGAACGGGCGGAAACTCGATTACGTACAGCTTCAGTAGTCGACGCTTTGCTTTCTCGATTGCGTTTGCGGCGTTCACCGTGGACTCGCGCACTCGGCCGCAGCCGAACCAGCTGGAGGCTGTCGGCGCGCGTACCGACAGCGTCGCCATAGCAACCACGCCGCGAGTGTGGTTGCCAGACAGAATTGACACGATTTTTTTTTCTCGTCACTCACGTTGAGTTACTAGGAGTTAGGCGCGTATCATTATAATACATTATGCTGTAAGAAGTTATTAAGGGATATGTGTACCTACCTAAGACAAATGCAGGAAAAGTATTATTGAAAAATAGAATTGGCGTAATCTTTTCATATCTTGATTAAGACTAGCGTGGTCAGTGGGCAAACCGATGCCTGAAATAGGAGGGCACATATACCGCTCGGGGCAATTCTCGGTTTGTTTAAGTAGGATGTATGTACTATTTGTTGTGGTTTGTGCAATTGTTCGGTACTTCTATCTGCGTGCGTGTCTCTGTGTATGTGCATTGTTGTGTGTATGTATATGTCGTGAGTGATTGTGGCCGTGCGACGGGCAGCAGTTAAAATTGCTGCTTTTTTTTCTTCAAATATTTATCACTTTTTTTTTCGTCGCTAGATGGGGGTTGTCGCCGCTCAATTTGAAAAGTGTGGCGGTTGGTGATCTATAACTATTAGAGGGCTGGATTCCATTAGTCCATCCGTCGTGTTGACCGCTCCGATTTATTCCCGTTGGTAGCTGTGTCGCCGTGCTATGCTGCCTGATTGCAACAAAAGGAGGTTAGGCGGCTTCCCCAGCGCGTGCTCTAGGTGCTGAATGCCGCTGTTCACGCACAAACGTTCATGAGTGGATAACGCGCGTAACAGAGATGAGCACGGGCAATAGTTAAAGGGGTATCCTCACGAAAGAGAACTCCGCGGACGGATGTCGTGACGTCAACAACCCAGGAAACTCCGTCCCCGGCTCCGCCGCGTGCACATGCTGAGCTCTCATGCTAAGAGTACAAAGCCTC